TTGAGAATTTCCTCTTTGTTTTCTGGAATTTTCAGAAGAAAACTAGAGCTATGCTCACACTGTAATATTTCTGCCTATTGGCTTATAGTCTAAGGCAAATGTTGCTACAGCAGCCGCCAGGGTCTGCATGAAGGACATAAAAAAAAAAAAAAAAAAAAAAGGTAGGTTTCTTACTTGTTGTAGTGTATGGAGGCATTTTACAAGACTGTTAAAACTAATATTATCATTTCTAATAGCATGTAAAAGTTTGGCTTTAACTAAAAAGGCAGTTTCAGCTATTTGGACCCCATTTTTCTGACATCTCTCCTTTCCAAAGGCTAAAATGTGACTATAGAATTAAATAATGAGTAACTTAGTGTTGAAGCACCTCTCAAACTTGGGCAAAACTCTACACACAAGCAAACATGCTACTGGAGTTTAACTGCTTTACTAACAATCAAACTGTGAATTGCATGAGTCAAAAGGTTAGGTTGCATTTTCATCCTCCCCTCATGTTGCTGTTCACAAAGCCTGGAACACACACTCACACATAGACACGTGTACAAACAAGACAAATTAAATTGCACTGGCAAGTCAGGAAGGGATACATGGAAAGATAAGAGCAGAGAAGGAAGCACTTAAGAAAGGCACCCCAGCAGTTAATTTCCTTTAGTAGTATATATTGCCTTCCTGACCAACGCTCAAAACACAATACACAGCTGGTGGAGCCTCAGTTCATGGCCACCACCCTCTGCTGGCTCTGTGAAAATGAACTACCCAAACATACAATGACAGCAGCTGATGGGCTGCATTGCATGTAGTCCATTAAACATACAGTACAGGCTGTCCTATAACAGCAAAAAATAAATAAATAAATAAAGAGCAGCAGATAAAAGAGCTATATTAACTCAAACATGCAAGAAACAACACTGTCAACTCTGCAACGGGAAATTACTTTGGACTCATTCTTCATGTATATTTGAAATCGTGAAGAAGATTCAAATGTTTACATACAGACAAGGTGACAAACAAAAAAGGAAAGCACAACCTAAAGTGTCTTAGTAAGGTGCTGGGCCACCATGTGCCACCAGACCAGCTTCTTGGCATAGATTTTACAAGTCTCTGAACAATGGACACCATTCCTCCAAAAGATATTCCCTCATGTGATGTTTTGATGACTGTGGTGGAAACGCTGTTAAACACTTCGGCCCAAAATCTCCCAAAGGTGTTCAACTGGGTTGAGATCTGGTAACTGAAGGCCACAACATATGATTCACACTCCTCAAACCTTTCAGCGACCCCTCATGCCCTATGGATGGAGGCACTGCCATCCTGGAAGAGACCACTCATTTATTCAGGCTTTTTTTTATTTTGTTGCCTGTACCACATGTGTAATGGGTAAGGAGCCATTCAAGGCACAGAGGCTAGTGCTACCAGCACTAGGCAACCCACTCTTGAGCCTGGTGTTCTGGTATACACTGCTCTCATGCACGGCCGCCTCCTACGGATACACGCATATACATAGAGAAAATGTATAAGGCCTGGAAATGGGGCAGGCAGGAGCTGAGAAATGAGATCCTGCAGACATGGGTGCACACCAATATAAATGTACCCTCCCCACACACACACACACACACCCCTATACGGTGGGCCACTTCAAACACATTCCACAACATGCTGTGCACTGTCGGAAAATGCCACCATGCACTGCAGTGAAAACAGTAGGCAAATGGGCTACATACGAACACACAAACAGATGGCATCTCCACTCACATTCATTTTATAAAACAACATGTTAACTTTTCAAATGTTCTTTCTAAATAAATGAGACTCCTTTGGACATTCAATTCAGCTAGTTAGAGTGGGACCCTGTTCAGGCTCTGTGACAGAGGTCGTTAAAGAAGCATGCAAACTGACTGTGGAAAACACATAAAACATTCAGCCATAAATTAGCTTGGCTCTGACTGTGTCCAGTGTGTTTGGCGTGTTCGGCATGTTCCTGATCAGGACAACCAGTGCTGACTGTGAAACACGGAGGAGGAAGTGTGCTGATGCATGTAAAATGTGTAGGTGGAAAAGACATCTATAGGTGGCGCTATGAATGCAAGTTTGTACCCAAATACTGAATGAAAAGATGACTCTCAATTGCAAGAAGCTTGGCAGAAGAAGAATTTTCCAGCATAACAATGATTGCAAAAATACCACAAAAATCATCACTCCACACATTTATGCAAGCATGGAACCAGAGGAGGATCAAATCTGCCATCAAAAATAAATGCAGACATACAAAATATGAATAAATAAATAAACCAGAATCTAACTTTTGAAGGGTATGTTGACTTCTGCTGCAGATAGCTTTTAAATATGCCCCTTTCATCATCATGGTTTAATTAATCAGCCATTTGCATTTCAAATTAACTGGCTTTATTCTTCTTGGGACTTTGGATGTAACAAATTCAACTGCATTAAATGGACAGGATTTGGGAAAACTTAAACATTTTATCACTACAGAATGGGGTGTACTTAGTTTTGCTATATACGTGACATACACATACTATCCAGAAACAGAGCTGTGCTTACACGTCTGAGAGGAACAAGAAGGGGGCAAGGCCCCCAGTTGCACAACTTGTTTTTTTACACGTTACACCAGGAGACAGCTCAGCAGTTACTTACAGTGCTTAAAAATGTTTGCTGATAACTCTGACAAACAGCCCAATGAAAATCAACTAGCAGTACCGTGTGAAAACTGCTTCATTGCATTCTCCAGCGTGAGCAGTCAACAGATCACAGGTGCAGTGGGGTTAATACAGTATATCAATACTGCTCTACTGCTGCTTTTCCCATGAGTGAGGTGGAGATGTCAGGCAGCATGTAGATTCAGATTGAAGTATTCAAAGTATCTTGTTTAACACCCCCACCCCTTAGGCGTAAACATTTTGAGAGTGGCAAATATGGTTACTTCCCAAAGAAATGAGTAAATCCAGAACCAGGACACCCAATAATATGTAACCCACTCCATGAAACAGAAAGAAGTCGGGAGAGGAAGGAGGGGTACCAGCAGGCCTGTCTCAAAAGACCTCTTTTCAGGACCTCTGTTTTGTCTGCATACATTACTTGTGTAAAGCAGCCAGAACATCTCCTTTGAACTTGGTCACTGGGAGCCATTACTAAGTCATGCAAATTAAAGTATGAAGATCAAATTAAACACAAGAAACAGCAAACACTATTGTATGTGTTTTGTTACTAGATTTTAAACTGGTCTATCTGTGAACATCAGCACATCAGTGTGGCAGCAACACATCATCTAAAACACTGAATCTCCAAAGGCCAAATATAGGTTAAAGGTTCAACCACTAATAAACAAATAAGCATGAATTAATTTAACAACAGTTGTATTGCAGTCACCCTATAAGTACAATAAATATTTTTATTGAGACATTCCTTTGTTCAAACTGAGATAACACACTAGCGAGTTATCTGCTTTAATAAAATAAGGTCCACTTTTCTGTCGGTTACACTTTTCACAGTATTAAATGTGGAAAGGTAATATAATAAACTAAAACATCACCTTGAGTCATTTAACTTCTGGAAGATTCATTTATGAATCAGGTCAGTGCATCTCTATAACTTGGGTCAACCTAATATTTCTTACTTACAAGCTTAATATCAAATATAACTCTATAAGATCTTCTAGACTAAGATTGTGGGTAAACCTATCTACAAAAGGTGCGTAAACTTATTTTAAGCAGATTTTCCTCTACTATATACCTGCTTATATGCAGCAGCAGTCAACAATGATTGCACTAAGTGAAAAAAAGATTCCCTGTTGCAAATTATCACTCCACGGATATTAAGACGAGGTCATTAGGCAGTTTACAGCAGGATCATTATCTCCAGCTCCCTCTCTCTCTCTCTCTCTCTCCCTCCCTTCCTTCCACCCTGTCTGCCAAAGCAGCACGGTACTGTTTAGATTACACGACGTTACATTAGTGTAATCCACACCCTAATTCATTGATAAATACACCACACATAATAGACAACCTCCTGCAGGAAGACACACACATACTTTAGTCCGTTTGGGGCTACAGAGCCACGCAGGCTAATCCGCCACCTATATAGAGACTTCTTAGCGTCGGCGGCTAATTTGTTTACGTTCAGGCTGCTGCAGCGCCGCGCGCGCGCGTGTGTGTGTGTTCTTGTTGTTGGAGTGTGTGTATCGCCATAAGAGGCCTAGCTGGGCTCACGGAGCCAATCCTGCTACTCCCAGTTTAGACTCGCAGCAGCAGACCACCCTCGTCCAGTTACAGCGACTAATCTGGCCATGGGGCTGGCGCATCCAATGCGGGCCGCTAAAATATGCACATTAAAGACAGCACCTGGGGTGGTGTCTTCCCCATTAACTGTACGGAGGAATATCAATTATTAGCACGTAGCCACGTACGCAACAACTGAAATTACTAGCCCCTTAATTATACCTCTATGAGAATTCACGCATGCGCCAAAAGCAAAAACAAGGCGAAAGTCCCGTGACCAAAGTTACCATCTTAAAATAAAAACAATAAAATAGCCGTACTCTTTTCTGAGCCCTGTTACTGCAGTAATAATCTGTCTGGAACTTAAAACCCGCGTCAGTGTTATTACGAACACGCCGTTTTACATATTCGGGACCCATCCCTATTGTAGTTAGCATATAAACACCACTTCGGTATGTTAATGCCGTCTTTATCGTGATACTCATATGGTAGTTTATCCTGCAATAATCTTACAGCAATCTTTTAAAATGTACACTTTTTATTTCTAACGTGTTAGGGTACTTATTTAAAGTAAACAAATAAAAAAGGTAGCAAGTGTAAACTACATAAAACCGCTTATATTATAGGTGGCATTGTGCCGCTGGAAATTAAAATGTAATTTGAAAGGTAATATATTCCAGGAAAGATAATATATTCCAGGAAAGATAATATATTCCACGATAAACTCACAACAACATTTCTCTGAAATGTGAAAAAAGCGATACTTACTTTCTCCGTGTATTAGTCCCGACTGGTATATAATGCAGGTGCAGAGGACAGTCAACACTATTTGTGCTCGCAGCTTTAGCGTCCACCACCTCATTTTGACTCTGAGATAAGTTGTGCTCTCCTCTTGAAGTGCCTCAAAAAACTATTGAGGGTTTTTTTTCCCCAGAAAGTGTTATCAAAAGTAACAAATTCTTAAAACTTTAGGTCCAATATATCCAAATGATTCGCGGTTGCCACTAAATAACGTGATCTTGAGATCTGGCAACACATGTGCGAGTAAAAATCTTCATTTTCCATAGGTGAAGGCGAAAGTCCAAGTTCATCTGTTTAATTTAGCTGCTTCACTGAATCAAGAGAAATATTAACAGTAATTTCCCACAGGCTAGTTTGGAGGTCCCCGGAGGAGATCCACTGGCCTTGTCTGTAATGCACGGCTCCACTGAGGGAAGACCCGCTTGAAAAACAATTTCTAACGCGTGTTTTATGCACAGCGTTAAAATATAAATAAATGAAGACAAACAAACAAACAAACAAACAGTCCTCTTCAGCTCCTCCAGCCCACACGGACTGAAACAGTGGATACCGTCCGACACTAAATCAAGAACGGGAGCTGACAGTGCTTGCTATCTTGTCAAGACCACAGGTTTTAGTGTTAGCTAGTATCTTCTCAGAAGCTCATCCTGTTAAAAACATACGGAGGCTCATCCCAGGAAATTCGTCCGAGCAGCTACGTGCAGAACAAACGTGCATCCAGCTTTCTCTACTACGACCCTCCTCTGAACTCCGTCACCCCAGCTGACCACCACGCTGCAAACGAATCAACACCCATAAAGCGACAAAACAGGAGAGAAATTAAATAAGGAAAACTTGGGAAATAACGTTCATAAATGTCACTTCTTTCCCATCCACAGTGAGCGAAAAAGAGCAAATACTGTCTCCGTTTAACGCCGCTGTGAAGTGAGAAAACTCTCCACCACGCCGTCCGTTTCTTCTTCTCAGATTAACGTTAGCCGATGGGGAAAACACGGCTAACGTTAGCTAGCTAATCCAAAACAAACGAGGTTTCAGGGTCGGCGATAGAGTTAAAAATTCAACAAAACACACAAAGTAAGTATCCCGTCTCCGATAGTCCAAAAGGGTGAGGTAAACAAACACAAAAATAGTTTTTTTTTTATTTTTATTTTAAAAAGACGGGTCAAGTGTAAAAACTTGGATTCCCGTTCCATTCACCGATGGCTCTCCCTCAGGTTCCCCCTCTTTCCGTCTCCCTTTCTGCGAGTCTCTCCACCAGTAAACAAGTCCTGCCAGTCACCTCAGCTGGGCCACACGTGGTCTGCGGGAAAATCCGGAGCGGATCACCGCTACACCTACCACCTGGGTCCGGATCCGGACTGCCTGAGCAGGCGCTGCCGTACCGGTGCTCTTTGTCAGGGAGGAGGTGAGGACACAACAAAACGGGAGTAGAGTAACACACGATATGTATATCAGATTCATATGAGGTAAGTCTTGCTTCATAGATTCACATATGTCGTGCAGATGATCCATGTTCTGATAGTATTGTAGCATCTGCTTAAACACGGAAAATCACCTGTTAAATTGTCTAATTAGTCACTACTATGGATTGTTTGGTAAAGGAAATTTCGGCAAATTTTTCAGTTGATATTCATGAATACAGATTGTAGACAAATAATAGAAACAATTTATTTTCCTTATCAATTCCACTTTGGTGATTTTTCCCCAAGATTAAAGGCTGTACTGTTACTTATTAAACACTTATTCCAAAATCCACTCGCATTACTTAGGATCATTTGAACACTAACCTTTTGTAGAACATATTTTCCAGTATTTCCAGATTAATTTCAGGTGGCAGCATATCTTTCAAACTGATCCGGGGCACTCTGGAATCAAACCCAGCCAGTGGGAAAAGTCAGCTTTTACTAAAGGCACAGGTGAACCAAGGACAATCTTTTTGTCACAAACATGATCCTGATTTGCATGTGATCATTTGATAGGCCAGCACCTAAAGCACAAAATATACAATACAATTACATGCAACTGTTTTATTATCATTTTACATTTGACACATCACACGTCATAGACCAGTGAGACTGTGGGCAAAACAAGAGCAGTGTAAACAGTACATACTGTCTTGGCCCAGCAGCAAGGAATCAAAACACCTGCCTGCAGTAAGGAATGGACATAGTCATCTCAGTTTGCATAGTAAATATCCTTATTCATATCCTGTTGATGAAACTTAACTACACACATTACCCAGAAGGAAGCTATTTCTACAAACACAAGCAGGATGGCTGAATCCTGACACAATTTTTACCCAAACCTGAGACTTAGATACATATAATAGCAGAGTAGAACATTTGCTTCCTGTTTGTCACATACAGTAGAGGTGCATTGTGTGATTGTGCTGCTACACACAGCTCTACTCTGCTAGAGGCTTGTGGAGCAGGCATGTTACTAATCTGAGGAATGTTGTTACCCAGTGAACAGAGTAAATGAGGTCTTGGTGAGATTAAATGTCACAGGTCTGAAGGACTGAGGGTTATGGACTCTAGTCAAAACAGACCTCTTTGAGGTAGCCACACTGTCTGACACAACTGAAAGCACACATATGTTTTCTCCTCTCCTCTTCTCCTCTCCTCTCCTCTCCGATCCAATGCACTATGGCATCATTTCAGTAGATGGCACTAAAAATAACCGCAGCCAATTCACTTTCCAAATGTCAAAAGGTGTCAAAGAGACAACTTTGGACTACGTCAAATAACATGATGTGAGTCTTCTGTCACAGTGTTGTGTGGCTTCTTTAGTGAAGGTTGCTTTAAATAATGTCTGCAAAAGAAGAATTTTAATTCAACTTTAACATTTATAAACAATTTGTTTTCTCTGCAGAGTTCACCTGTCACTCACAAAGGCAGTGTTCATATGTGCTTATCTTGGATGTGTTGACACCTCTCTTCTGCAGAACTGTTTTCCACCTGGTACTTGGTTGTGGAGGGATTATTCAGACCAGAGGATATGCAGATGTGCGAATGACACAGTTGTAATTTGATTGTTGAGGAAAAGGCTGCGGGGTCCACGCTCATCATAAGCTACAACTCAAGCCCCCAAATGTCCCAGATAACAGTGTTTTCATTCTTTTTTTTATTTTCATGGCAAAACAGCATCAATCCAAGGATAAAATTGTCAGCGGTAGCACAGCATCAACAGTGCAGCAAAAGATATGCTTTTCCTTTCACCAGAGTCTCTTGTCTCCCCTCAGATTGAGCAAGGAATTAAAAGAAGAGAGTGCGAGATAGCGTACAAGTGAAATGATGGCTTTCAGTCGTACAGAATATTCTCTTTGTTTAGCAATCCCTTTATAAATGGCATGTGAGTGACAAATTCAGTGAGTGGAGAAATACAAAGAATGTAGATGCTTCCACCGAAGACAAGAGGGATCAGTAAATGACACATGATTAAGGATACACCAATCAGGGTTGAGGGTATCTCCTGCTACTGAGTGTCAAACCAACAACCAGTGCACTCGTTCTCCCAGTATGAAAATGAGATCAATCGTACACTATGCCCTTTAAAGTAGCCATATCTTAACCCAGGTGAACACCCATAGGGCCGTGCAGGGACCACCAAACACCAAATGAGAGAATGAATTTTAAAAGAATGGCATTCAGAGACCTGGAGATAAGGAATACTGAAGCTGTTCTGGAAGCTTGTGGTGGTGGTGGTTCTTTGTTTTTGATTTGTCACCCACGTGTACTTCAGCCTTGTGTAGATAAATCTCAATGCTCCTTTAGGCTTCAGGTCCTTGACTTGATTAGGTATCAGCCTCATCAACCAGGGAGCACTCTGCACTCACAGTGGGGTTCAACACACACATACAAATCAATGAATTACAGATGCACATACTTGTCTTCTTCTTGTATTTCTTCCTTTTGCCTCACAACAAACTTATACAATAATAAGTTAGACCATGTACTACATCTGCTTCTTTCTCTCTCACACACACAGATGCAGAAGGAAAAACAAACTCACGCTCATTCTCTCTGCAGTTGTCTCCGCTGTAGCCTGTAAATGGAAGGATTAATAAGTTTGAATGGAGAGAGTCTCTTGCCTTTGTTGGTGTGGAAGGCTCGGTAATTTGCTGCCTGGGGAGCCAGGAAGTAGGAGCCACATCTAGCCTTTGAGCGTCTGTGTGTATATGTATGTGTGTGTGTGTGTGTGTGTGTGTGTGTGTCTCATAGGAGTGGGTCATGAGCTTAAACAGACAAAGCATTCCTGTGTTAGTAATTTACACTTTTAGCACTTGCTGTTCATGCATCTCAATCCATTTAGCCTGACAAACAGAAAAACACCAGGCTCTCCCTTGCTCTCCGATTCCCTTGTTGTTTCTTTATCATACAAGCACAGAGCAATTACATATAATGTCATTTAGGCAAGAGATTAACACACCTATTCCTGCCGAGGAGGAGCTAGGCATCACCAGTCTTATGACAAAGCTTCTGCACACAACACAGGAAAGACTTTGCAAAAATATATAATAGTAAATGAAGAGGAAACACAGTTGAAACACTGCATGCATATTATCTGTCATGACATTTTGTAGAGGCATTCATGTCCCTCAGAGGATTTACCCAACTCACTTTGGTGATACTCTGCTTCTTCTGTATCACTGACATACTGTATTTAGTTAATGGAGAAATGTCTCAACATTTTTTGGATGCCCAGTTCAGATAATCATATTCTCCTCAGGATTTATTGTAGAAACCTTGGTGATCACCAGAATTTCTATTTAGTGCCACAATTTAGGCCAAAATTTAAATTTGTCCAGTACTTTGATTTATTACCACATGGCATTCTGTTAACTGTAATATGCATTTGGTGCTAATTATTTAAACTGGTAAACTAAGATGGTGTGCTTCACAGTATGGCAAACATGTTAGCATTGTCACTATGAGCATGTTAGCAGGTTGATGTTAGCATTTAAAGATTCAGAGAATCTGAAGAAATCTCTGAAAGCCAGGAAAACTAAAGGCTGAAAACTAATACTGAATGGCCATGATCTTGGGGCCCTCGTGAGGCGTTGACATTAAAAACAGACACAATTCTGTGGTGGAAATCACTGCATCAGCTCAGGAACACCACTGAGAACCACTGGCAGTGAACTAGGTTTGTTGTTACATCCACAAATGCAAGACAAACAAGATCCAGATCTTCTCAGGCCTCAAACTAATTTAAGATGGACTGAGGTGAAGTGGAAAACTGTGGTGTGATTTGATGAATAAAAAGTTTTCAAATTCTATTTGGAAATCATGGATGTCGAGTCCTCCAGGCTAAAGAGGAAAAGTATCATCCCGCTTGTTATCACAACACAATTCGACAGCCATATATGTCTTTTTCGCTAAATGCACATTTGTTTTCTTGTTTTCACATTCTTCTTCTTGTTCTGATTTTCTTGTTTCTTCCTTGCCTTATGGAAACACATTGCACATGCATATGCACATTAAGAGTCACTGTGTCAAATTCCTTACGTTCAACCTACCTGGCCATAAAGCTGATTCTGATTCTGATGAAATGAAAAAAATATGACAAAGGAGAAGCCAAAATCTTATATCAAGCAAATGTTTTGCTTTCAAAACTAAAGCAACTGGTCTCCTCAGTTCCCAGAGGTTTACTCAGTGTTGTTAACAGAAGAGGTGATGCAGCACAGTGGGACCATGCCCCTGTCCAAACTTTTTTGGATCATGTAGATGGCATCAAATTTAAAATGAGCACCTCTTTTTCTCAATTTCAGCGTTTGACATAACTACAACATTATTACTTTAAATGAAATATAGGTTTTAACTGATTAACAAATCATAGCATTCTGTTTTTATTTACATTCTACACTTCATCCCAAGTTTTTTGGAAATAGGGTTGTATGTTATGCAGCTAGTCTTACTCTTCTGTTACTTTGACACTACAGGTTTTTTTTTTTTTTTTTTTTATTATTGCTTCACATCATCTCTGTCCAGACTTATCTATACTGTATTTATACTATGTGCATATTGATCTCAGCTACTAAGCCATTGATGAGGAAGAACCCTGTGGACAAAACACTGTGATAATGTGCCCGATGATGAATTCAGTAAACACACAGACCACACAAGCCATGTTAATAATCCGTGGTGATGACACTGGCTTTTCAGGTTGTTAGAGTGATCCACGGAGCTTTAATATGTCTGTGTCTGTTCATCACTAATGAAACTGGAACCAAGGGCACACTGTGCCATCTATAAAGCAGCTTGATAAGCATTGCAGGGGATTTATGAATCAGAGTACACACTGTACAGTATCTCAGTCAGCCTTTCAGACATGGAGTATCTTATAGCTTACCTCTGCCTGAATCGCAGTGTCAGATTCACACAACAAGCCATGCATTTACTGTATGGGTTTTAAGATATTTAAAGCACACTGTATTTGCATTTCAGTTTTCCCATTGCCCCTCCCTACTCATTCCCCTCAAGGCAAGATCTATTACCATTTTGAACTG